TCTTTCCTCGTGAGAAAAAAGATGGTTCAATCAGACTCATTTTGAATTTGAAAAAAATTAATTCAGAAGTAGAACACATCCATTTCAAGATGGACACATTAAAATCAGCTATAAATCTAATAAAACAAGACTGTTGGTTTGCTTCCATTGACCTAAAAGATGCCTAATATTCAGTCCCAGTAACAAGGGCAGACAGAAAATATCTTCGATTTATGTGGAAAGACCAATTATTTCAATTTACCTGTCTACCCATGGGATTAAATACATCTCCAACAGTGTTCATAAAACTTTTGAAACCAGTTCTTTCACAACTGAGGAAATTGGGTCATTCAATAGTGTGCTACATAGATGACTGCCTGCTACAGGGTGATTCTTATTATTCTTGTAAAAACAACATGTTAGACACAGCAACACTTATGGATAATTTAGGACAAACAATTCTTCCGGAGAAGTCAATATTTGTTCCAACTAAAGAAATAGAATTTTTGGGATCTTTATTGGATTCAGAAAAAATGACTGTGTCAGTAACTTGTGAAAAAGCAGACAAAATTGTCCTACTGTGCAAAAAAATACTAAATAAAGTTGAAAATCTTTATCAGAGATTTCTCATAAATCATATGAAAATTGGTTGCATGTCAGCCAGGTGTCCAGTTCGCACCACTATTTTTGAAAGACATAGAACATGAAAAAGAACAAGCATTAAAATGTGCTAAAGGTGATTATGATTCAGTTATTAAAATATCAGAATCAGCACGAGACATCTTATCATGGTGGATTAACAATCTCCACACAAGTCTCTACCCTATCAATAGACCCGAACCACATGTGCTGTTAGAGAGCGATAGTTCAGGCTTAGGAAGGGGGGACTACTCTAAGGTGACTCTTCAAAAAGAACAGGACACTGGTCTTACACAGAACAACAAAATCACATCAATTATTTGGAACTGTTGGCTGGGTTCTTGACCTTAAAAAGTTTTTGCTCTATCATGAAAGACTGTCATATAAAATTATGCATGGACAATACAGTAGCTGTTTCCTACTTGCAAAATATAGGAGGTAAAACTCCGACATTACACAACTTGGCACGAGAAAATTTGGCTTTGGTGTAAACGTCGAAATATTTGGTTAACTGCATGCCAACTTCCTGGTAAGAAAAATTATGAAGCAGACAAACTCTCAAGAAACTTATCTAAGGATATGGAATGGATGTTAGACAAGACTGTATTTCAAAATATTTGTAAACAGCTTGGAACCCCTGACATTGATTTATTTGCTTCCATAATCAATACACAGTTGACTACATATGTTTCATTTTTACCAGACCCCACAGCAATTGCTGTAGATGACTTTAGCTTTGCTTGGACATATGATAAACTATATTATATGTTTCCTCCTTTTAGCTTGTTGGGGAAAGTCATTCAAAAGATAGAGACAGACAGATGCAAAGCAGTTCTGGTGGCACCTCTTTGGACAAATCAGCATTGGTTCACAAAATTACTCCAATTACTGGTGGAACCACCTATTCCAATACCCAAGCGACATCATCTATTAACTCTTCCCATGTCACCAACCGAGAAGAACCGATTGTCAAAAATGCGACTTGTTGTGTGCAAAATATCAGGGAGAGCCTCAGACAGCAAAATATATCGGAGGACATTGCAGACATTTTGCTATCATCCTGGAGACAATCCACACAACAACAATATTGGACGTATTTCCATAAATGGATGCTATTTTGTGAGCGAAAATCAATTAATACATTTCAAGCATCTGTACATAATGTTTTAGAGTTCTTATTACAATTGTACAACAGTGGATTAGGTTTTAGTGCTGTGAACACAGCAAAGTCATGTATTTCTTCAGTGTGAGAAATTATTAATCCGGAAACTAGTCTTGGTAGCAAAAGTTTGATTAAAAGATTTATGAAAGGCATATTTAACAAAAGACCATCATTGCCTAGATATGCATGTACATGGGATGTTTCATTAGTTTTAGAATATTTGAAAACTCTTATTCCTGTAAATACTATTAGTCTTAGACTTTTGAGTTGGAAGTTAACTATGTTGATTGCTTTATTGACAGGACAAAGATGTCAGTCTTTACATCTGATAGATATTATAAATATTTTGATAGACAATGATTTTGTAAAAATTCATTTCGGAGACTTGTTGAAACAATCCAAACCGGGCAGTCATTTACAACCTATTGAACTTGTGCGATACAAACATGATGAATATTTTTATGTGTTATGAAAACCTTACAAGAATACTTAGGACGTACAAAATCTTTGCGTGGCGAAGAAACACAGCTGTTTGTTAGCACCATGACACCTCATCAAAAGATTTCCAAACAGACAATTAGCAACTGGATAAGGACTGCATGTGTTAGAAAATTCTGGTATTAATGTAAAAATGTTTAAGGCTCACAGCACAAGAACAGCATCAATGAGTGCTGCAAAATCTGCAAATGTACCAATAACGACCATTTTGAATGTTGGCGGTTGGAAATCAGATTGTACATTTCGTAAGTTTTATAATAAGCCATGTAGGGAAGAAAAAGTGAATGTAGGAAATATTATTTTGGAAAATTATTCAAAGTCATGAAATCTAATTGTGTTGCTTTTGTTTAAAATGTCAATACATTATCATCATGTTAAATGCATGTTTATGTTATATTCAACTAGTATAGTCGAAAATAAAAGTGAACTGTTTGCATTTGTTTTTAATATATACAATACATTTTGAATCCAATCTCATTGGGTCCCTCAGTACTGTTAATTTGGTAAAATTAGAAAATTAAATGAATATTACTTGTGAGATAAAATTAATTTGATTATAATTAACTTATTACTGAGGGATCAAATGCCCATCCCATTCCCACCCTTTGTAATTGGGATGCTGGAAATCATCTAAATCTAAATGGATATTATTATTATTAAAATTACATCAATACATCCAAGGATCTCTGAATACTGACCATCACGTGACCTCGAAGCAATCTCATTTGATCCCTCTGTACTAAGGTGATTTGGTAAAATTATAATCAAATTTCATCTTAGAAGTAATATTCATTTAATTTTCTAATTGAAATTATCCTAATTCAATTCCACAATCAGTTTTGTAGTCTTTGTAAAAATTTTAAGGCATTTGCTTCATTTTTGGCAGTTTCTCTAGTATTCGAAATGGAAAAGTGGTAAACACAACACACGAAAAATGGCGACGTTTTATGACATTACGGCGCACCGGAGAACTGTTCAGTTTGATTTCTATGTTGTAATTACACCTTTAGAGACTTGAAATGACCATAGAAGAAAAATTATAAAAATATTACCATATCTAAGTATACAAATGAAATAAGAGTTTTCTTAGCGAATTCTTTTTTTATCGAGTCCCTGGGGAGAACAAAACATACAGACAAACTCCTAATGTAATAGCAAAAGACGCTGTCACAGTAGACGGCCGATATGAGATTTTCTATTAGTTGAATGATGGTGAGAATATTGTCCGTAACTTACTAATAAATCTTCAGAAGATCGCATGAGGGTGCCAATTGGTAGGCCTTTCAACTAATTTTTCAAGTTGCACATATGGTAAAAAACATTGTATAGATAGATTTATAGGTACATGAAATTATCAAAAAAGATAACTTATGCATACTTTTAATTACATCATTAAAAAGTTTAATCATTTATAATTGACTTTTCCGATGTTGTGTTTAATGACAGGTAACTCAGGTGTGAAAAATGACCAACTTAGTGCCGATTTATGAGTTATCGTTTATAGGAATGACATATAGCCTGCTTCAGCATTGGTATTGTTATATAAAGGGTTCCTTACATTGTTTTGTACACAAAAAGTTCTGACCAAGAGAAAGAGAACGCCTTCACCCTGCCTGCAATAACAAGGTCAAATGAATGGGGAACAGACTATATTCAATAGTCTTAACTCTCTTTGACGATTATTATGAAGAAGAAAATTTAATGTCATGTTTTTTGTGTTCGCGCTTTTTCGCTTCCTGTGTAAATATATATATTTTTACAAGTAAATGCAACAATTGATCATCTTATTTGTGTTACTAAGCACGAAGGGGAACGACCGAGTATAAAAATTTAATTAGGTTAGAACTGAGAAGGAGGGTAGATTTCACTTTTTATTTTAATTAAAAATTTTAATTATATGCAGTAAACCGGTGTCCGCAACTATACAGTAAATAAGTTTAACATTGGTGATAAATTTTTAAACCACTGGATTCTACTGAGAGCAAAGAGACACTTGGGAAATGCTAAAAACTGCCTTGCGTGTAAACAGTTAGGTACCCAGAGCCTGCTCTAAACAAGTTTCAGCTGTGAGTTATCGTTCATAATACCGACCCCTAGTGGCAGTTGAAAGGCCTACAATTGGTTCTTCGGCTGTTTATGGAGACTAAAGAATATGTGTATCAATGAAATTCCTAATTTAAGTCGGACTCATCCAACTTCATTTTCAGCAAAGATAAAATGACGCTGTTTTAGACACTTTGACCATGACTTTACTTTAATCCATGCTCCGTAGGGTGATGCAATACATGGCATAAAATCTCATAATTTGTTTATTTATGCATATATTTATCTGACATTTGCTGTGTATATTACTAAAACATGTACTAAATAATAGTGAAAATTTCAGAACGCAGTGATGTTTATTTTTCACAATAGACAACTTGTCCACAATTTTACGGGACAACCCTCGTATATAGCTGAAAGCATTTCATAATTTGTGCTACATGTACAGAGTTTTACCATGACCGCATATCAGAAACAAATTGTTTATTTCAGTGGAACGTAACCTTCAATTTGATTGTTTTTTACAGCATAAAAAACATTTCAAAGAACGTAAAAATGATTTACATATTATTTCCCTTTGAAAGTCGTATATCACATTATTTATCAAACATATGAATGTCAAATAAAACATTATAGTTGTTTCAATAGATCACAATTGAACGTGTAAATTTCATCATACTTATTTTGATTCGATAATGGATGATTTTAAATTCTCCGTTTCCTGTAGATACTTGTACACTGTTATTGTGTTACTATTCTTCTCTCCCACATAGAGGTTGTGTTTTTCGTCCACACACAGAGCCATTGGACAGCGTAGTCCATGTTCTTCTGTCAGCAGGTGACGCAGGAACTGACCGTTCTGATCCACGAGATGGATACTGGGATCAAATGCATCACACACCAGTACCTGTCCAAGGATATCGGTACAAATACCACAGGGATAAAAGTCAGACTTGTAAAGACCTCTGTAGTTAAACCGATGTTGTCCTAATTTATCCATCACCACTACTTCTCTATGTCTGTCAGAGACCCAGATGTCTCCATTTTTGTTTTCTGTGATGAATATTGGATAACAGTCACCATACCTAAAATAAGACCTAGTGCCCAATTTTATGTGATGGGCCCCCGACCAGTCATACCTTTTCAATCCAGATTCAAAACCAACCAGTATGTCGCCGTTAATACGGGAGGAGTGGATACATAATAAACGCCTAGATTCTCTGAGGAGTGTAGTGATGGTTCCATCTAACGTCATCTTCTGCACCTCATAGCCATCTATAAGAATCAGGTTCCCGTCTTCTGAGACGGAGTGACTTCCTCTTGGTGAATAATATTTAAAATCGATTTTATTTTCCTGTACTTCTGGTGTGGTCTTGTCCACCTGCAGAAGTCGTCTCTGATCACTAACCCACAGTCTTTCTGACGTCACACAGGAGATATGATAAACGTCGTCAACGCCGGGCACAGTAATACTGGACATACATATAACGGGCAGAACCAAGTTCTTTGATTTTGATAAATCTACGAAAAATGAAATTATTTAATAGATATGAGAATAATTATTTAATATATACATGAATAATTAATATTAAGTTTACTTCTTCATGTAGAAAAATAAGTTATGAGAATTTCATACAATATATAAATACAATATATATATACTTAGTACAGGTACTCCTAACTCGTTAAATCGACATTTGTTTTGTCTCGACAATGTTTACAACAAATTTTGTTTTGGGGCATGTCTACCTGGTACATGTACTTAGAGTTAAATATATAATCAACATTTGACGTGACATGCCTATCCGTTATAATTACTTTCCTCTTTTATCATTTTTTAAGTAAACAATTTAATTTAAAGCAATATGAGGTGCATTTTTGAAAATTTCATTTTGCTATTAAATATGTCATTATAACAGATTTCAATGTATGTTCAACCTTCAAGATTAATTAGACTGAAATAAAACTTCTACATGCAATCCAATACAGAGTTCTATATAAGAAATTATTATTTTACAGGACGACAATAATGTAATTGTAATTCAATAGAAGCTTATAAATAGTTCTCCCATTTCAAGTATGTAGTTTATTAATGTAATTTTTTCTCTCATTGAAACAGTTATTTACAATTTTTCAACAAAAAAATCCAACACAATCAACATCAAAGTTGCAGCTAATGTTGTTTTAAAAAAGTACAAGTATTTTTTTTAAATACTACATGAGACCCATGGGCAACATCGCTCACCTGAGCACACTGGCTAGGATGAAGCAGAAATATGTTCAGTATTAAAGGGGTACAAAGGTTAATCTACACTAAATCGGAATGCTTCTATATCAATTATTCTTACTATTCATGGCTTTGCTGTTATGAAACGAAATATTTTTTTAAAGATTTTTTTCGTATGTATTCCATTGTAAAACTATGAATGCCCAAGTGCCCAATGCTTACTTCCTACATTTGAACAATATTGAATCTACGCTACCTGAGGATTCCTCTGTGAACATGATTAAACATGACTTTGCTCTTGTTAAGCAGAAAATTCTTTCAAGATGATTCCTACATATTCTTTTGCTAAGCTTTGACTCTCTGTTGTGTCCCCAATCACTCGAGGGTTATGATATGAACAAACTTGATTCTATATCACCTTAGGTTCCTGCAAAATTAATGTTTTTCGAGAAAAATATTTTAAAGAAAGTAACGTTTGAGATCAAGTTCTTATAAGGGATATTTTTTTCCATTTAGTTAATGATTGGAATGTTTATTAAAACAGTTCTGTCTGAGGCTATGTCTTCCAGTATATACTTTTATCCTGCCTCTGATAAAAATCGTGAAATTTCATTGGTCGAAAGCAATACTGTATGAAACGATATTATGCTGTCTACCCACCTCACATTGCTAATGTCCCCCCTCCACGTGACCTACCTACCATGTATTAAAAATTCACCACCCACACATCATCAATATACTGCTTTCACGTGACCCACATGGAGCTTCGTAACCGACGTCACAAGGCAACTGACGACAACAATGGATGCAGAACGTTTTGCTTGGACGCTCAGTGAAAGTGGTTTATCAATTCTATAAATATTAAGTTCTTTAAGAGAACCATCGGCAGGATAAATTCGTTATGTAGACACTTAGAGGGGTAATACAGAAATATGTGGGGTCCTTGAAAAAATATATATTGGGTTCGGCTTAAACCTCGCCCAAAATATGGATTTTTTCAAGGACCCCACAAATTTCCGTATTACCCCTCTAAGTGTCTACATAACTAATAATACTTATATCTAGAGATGGGGATTGAATAAGGTACTACTTGCACTTTTTTCCCCTTGTTTCTCCCTTGGTTCCCATTCTGAGAACTTAACATCAATACGCCAGGATACTTGCCACTGGAGTTTATATATACCCATGGGGTTTTCATTGTTAAATGTCCATATGCATAATAGTTTAATATTAATTCAAAACATTCTACAGTGAAAAGGATTTACCAAGAGAAAGTTTCAAATTTGTAACTAAGCAGTCAGAACACTTAACGAAGATTACATTAAAGTATTATGGTGCAACTACAATAACAATACAAATTAAAATAATTAGAATAACAAAAAATACTATGGTGGAAAACTAACACACATTAAAAATAGTATTACAATTGTAAAAAAATTACCTGATAAGTTTTTTAATTAGATTTTTTTGTTAATTAAAATAAAGTTATAAATTAGGAGTATTCAGCACCTACACATCAGTTATAAATTCAATTTCATTAAATCTTTTGCTAATGAAGATTGAATACCTTTACTTTTCATTGCTGATTCATCATCCAACCTCTTCAGCTATTTTCGCAATACCCTGACTTTCTTAAAATTTACCTTACATTACTGATTAATAGTCCATTCCAAGGGTTGTCAACCTTCGTTCCGACATTTAGATCTTATCAATTAAAGAGTTATTTTCACTTGTATGTCGACTCGACATAGAGAGATTTAACTAAAAAAAAAGAGCAATCGAAAAGTGTGTAAAACTGGGGAATATTTGTAGCGTTTTTTTACAATTGTACAAAGGTGTTTCACACGTTCAATACTTATTCCTGTTATTTTTAATATTTTTATCAACGACATTTTTTATTTTGTGTCAGATTGTGCTCTCTTTAATTATGCTGATGACAACAATCCCTCAAACGCAAGTGATGATATTACATCACTAAAAAATACTTACGAATCAAATTGTTTCACCTCAGATAAGTTGTTTGGAGATAATCAAATGCAAGCAAATCCTTACAAATTATAATTAAGCTATATGTTTAGGAAAGAAAACTAAACAGGAAAATATTTGCTTTGAAATTGATAGTATGATTCATCCGGAAAACGAAGTAAAATGACTAGGTGTTACTATAAAAATACAAAACAAAAAGCTTCGCAACAACTTATATGTACTTAAAAGAATAGGAGTACACCTGAACAAATCAGGAAAACTAATCATTTATCATACATTTATTCTGTCAAACTTCAATTACTGTCCATTGGTTTGGCATTTTTGTGGTGAACGAGAAACAAGAAAAATGGGAGAAAATACAGGAAAGAGCATTCCGTTTTATTTATGACGATTATGAAAATTAACAACTAAATTGCATGACAAATAATATCAAATGACAAACGGACGATGGACATCTTACCATCGCATTTTATAAGCTCTTTTGGAGTGGAGCTTATAATAACAGACACAGACAATGGACAAAATTCAATCAGAAAAGCTCACTTGGGCCTTTGTGTCAGGTAAATCAAAATATTTTGTACTAGTATATGAACATGTGAGGCCATTCCGAGTTTTTTTTCTATGTTTAGCGTCCGCATGCGTCTTGGTTTTTTGACACCCAAATTGATTAATCAGGTCAAAATTTATTTTTCCGGTAATATCTCTAAAAATTTAAAAAATATTTCATTATTGGAATAGTATCAGTATTTAATACCTTGATTGTGCTGAAGCAAATAATTATCCTTTTGAAAAATAGATAAAGGAAATCATACCATTTGATTTTGTGAATAGGTAGCTAGGTTTTTGAAAGATGGGTGGACGCTAAACAGAGAAAAAACTTGGAATGGCCTGATAAAAAATCAAAATTCATATTTTTTGGCGTTATTATGAAAATGAATGTTACGAAAGACTGGCCCGTGCTGCTTGAATATACGAAGTATTAACACTATTGTGTTCATAATATAGTGTGCATTGTTCAAATTTCTGTATATTTACTAAATTACGGCTCATATTAAAATTTATCGTACATGTTTGCCATTTCGGGCTTTTTGAAGAAAATTATGCATTTGTCCACAAACGTTTTTGGACAACACTCGTATCAAGAGTTACAAATGGATAGAAATAAATTTCATTAGTTGATAAAAACTTAAATGTCGTCAATATATCTTGAATGTTCAGTTGTAGAAGATGCAGAGTACGTGCTTTCTTCTTCTCCTTTAGAAGGTTTCAGAATAAATGATACCCCATAAGAATATAAATTCAGATAAGCTAATAAAGGGATGCTATTATTACAAGACCTGCCTAACCTTTTCATTGCAAGGGTGTAATTTCAGTACACTTTTGATGGAATTGCAGATGTAAAAGCGTAATCAATTATGCTTTACTATTTTTATTTACTATAATACTTTTTTTTTCAAAAACAACTGAAACTGCACATTACTAAAAAAAAGCTGGTATAAACTTTTCTTATTTTTTTCGAATTATTTATTGGCAAAAGAAGTGTTGTGAAGTTCCAGTATCCTATACCTAACTCAATTCAACTATACATCCTTAATGGAGTATTTGATCAATTTGTATCAAATCTCTTTAAAAACAATTATAGTGTGAAAAAACATCCATAACTTCTTTAATACTAGAAATATCAGAATAAATCTTGCACCATTGGAAAGAAAAAATAATTACGGTAAAATAAAATACAAAAAATATTTTTATTGGTTGTACCAGTTTATTGCTAGCATGAGTAAAACTGTGCGCACTATTTGAGCGATTTTGCCATTCTCGAAATCAATGCAGAGGCAACACGTTATATGGAAAAATGCTGAATTCTGGTATTCATCTCAACCCTACCCTACCCCCCCCCCCCCAAAAAAAATGATTAAAATTGGTTTGTAAAAAAAATGAACAACATATTCATAAGTTTCAACACAACAATAAAATATTTTTAATATATTTAACTAAGGAAAAAACTAGAATGAAACTCATTATATACAAAATGGCAATTCAAGCATGATTACAGTGTATTTCGTAGCCATGGCAACTGGAATGAATTTTTTTTAATCATTTTTCAGAACTAACACAATACCTGCTTTTGGAATGTATATTCATTGGTATATAAAAAAATTACAAGAAAACCCCCAAAAAAGTGTTTTGAAATTTTAAAAACAAATTTCTAGAAATGCTTAAACTTTTGCCATGGAAGGGGTTAATCGAAGGATTGCGTTTTTATG